GTGTGTGTGTGTGTGTGTGTGTGTATGATCTTCAGAAACCACATGCTGCTGACACAGCTGGGGACAGTGAGGTGGGGACACTCAACAGCTCCCTGCATGTGGCATTTACAAATACCTTCAATCCAATTTGCAGGCTTTCATCTACCTGGAAGCATCCAGGATTTCGAAAAGGGAGACCCTAGCCCCCTAAGATTCCATCTTTGTCAATCTGAAGTTGTTCATGTTTAATTTATGCAAAGTCAAGTGGGATATTGTAATTTTTTATACTTATTTATTTTGGGGTTGGGTGGCATACTACACTAGCATCCAGAGGACATCTTGTATTTTTTGGCTTTTTCTTTCTACCATGTGAATCTTAGGGATGCAACTCAAATAACCAGGCTTGGTGGCAAACGTCTATATTCACTGGCTATCATCTTGTCCCCTGAAAAGGCAGTTTTAAAGTCCAACTCATGTGTTGTGTTAGTATTAAGCAAGAATGATAGACCCATATGGTGACCTGTGCTATACTTCCCTGGGGGAGTAATATTATTTTTGTTAGCAAGAAATTGTGCTTACCCCCGAGGAGTTCAGATATAGGCAAAGACAAACAAGAGTTAAAGCAAGTTTCAGACTTTTATAAGAAAAAGCAAAGAAGGGCTGGAGAGATGCTCAGTGGTTAAGGTTAAGTCCCAGAATGTATACTGAGCAGCTCATAGCAGTCTATAATTCCTGTTCCAGGGGATCTGATGCCCTCTTCTGGATTCCCTGGGAACTGGCATACACATGTGCATAGATACACACACACACACACACACACACACACACACACACATTGACAGATGCTGTTTGTTCTCTCCTGGCTGCCCAGACCCGAAACCCAAAATAATCACATAGGAACTATATTATTTGCAATACTCTTTGACCAATAGCTTAAGTGTATTTCTGGATAAGTCTTTTATCTTTCTTTGGTTTTTCGAGAAAGGGTTTTTCTGTAGCTTTGGAGCCTGTCCTGGAACTAGTTCTTGTAGACTAGGCTGACTTTGAACCCACAGAGATCCACCCACCTCTGCCTCCTGAGTGCTGGCATTAAAGGCATGCATCATCACCCCATTTTAACTCTTTTATCTTAAATTAACCCATTTCCATAGGCAGAGTCCAGGAGAAGCCATGTAGCCCTGCTGGAGACAGACAGATGCCAGATGCCGGATGGAACTTTACCCAGTAAACCACAACCACGTGACGATACTCAGATTAATAGAAATAGGTTAATTTAAAATGTAAGAGCTAGTCAATAAGAAACTAGAGCTAATAGGCCAACCAGTGATTTAATTAATATAGTTTCTGTGTAGCTATTTAGAGTCTGGGCATCTGGGAACAAACAAGCATTCTCCAACAACAAACTGGCACCAACGTGGATGACTACATCCATAAAACCTGAGAGAGCATTTTTTTTTTTAAGATGAGCTTTGCTGGTGACAAGACAGTGAGTAGGAGCGCCATGGTTCCTTTATGATTAAGAGAGATCTTCTTGATTCAGCAGGAGCAAAACAAACAAACAAAAAAACATACACAGTTTTGAAATGGCAGCTTCCTGGTTCGTTCTGCTAGTATGAACTTTGGCTCTTTCAGGTGGAGCACTTGAATGGGGTTTGTGGGCAGCATGTTCATGTTGCAAGTTACTTGGTAGCAGCATGGGGCAACTGGTTACCAGAGTTGACGTGGGAAGCATGCCTCCCACCTGGCAGTCTCAGAGGCAGTGAACGGGCCTCCGCCATGTTGGACTGGGCAGAGCCAAAAGGCAAAGAAGCCTTAGTCCTAACCATGCCACTTTGCATTTTAAGAAGCGGTCCTGGTCAGAAAAGGATTACAGATACACAATAAAGACAGATTCAGATAAAAAAAAAAGACCTCTAAATGGGTCACAGTGTTGGATAAATGTGTGTAGGCTTCAGAGAGAGAGAGGAAAAAGAATATAGACAGTTCTAAAAGGAAGTAAATGGTTTAAAAAAAAACAAAGTCTTTAAAGAGACAAAGTACAGTCAAGATTAAAGGGGTAAAGACAAATAAACCATATAAAAACAGAATATACACAGAAAGTCTGAATTATGTATATTGTGTTTTCTTTGAATTTTTTGTTTGTGAATGAGCTAAGTACAGAGAAACATTTCATTGTATAGACTGCTAAGCTAAACCAACATATATATTTTAAAGGTATGTTGACTTCAAAATTTGGGTCTAAGGATTTGATGCTTTGGGAAAGAGGTTCTTCTTTTGTAGCCACAGAGGATGAGAACCTGTGGATTCCTTCCAGACTAAAGTAGTTTGATGGACCAAGATCCCCCAAAAGGTCACTGTGAACACCCCCAAAAAATTACTTCACCCATTAAAAAGCAGGAAGCAGTTTGGAGAGAATTATGCCCAAATTCCCAAATATTGTCTATAAATGTTTATTCACACACACAAAAAATAAATGTTTATTCACATTTAAAGGGGGATATGCTATAGGCATTGATATGGATCTTGGTCAATTGATACAAATTTTAGGTCAATTTTATTATATGTATATTTCTGCTCTTGATTAAGGTATTGTGTTTGTGCAGCTCATCTAAAAATGTAAGGTATAATTAAGAAATATAGTCATCTATAATAGTCAAGCTTGTAGTCATGTTAGGTTTTCTAGATGTACAGAGATATAGTTCAGATGGACAGGCATTTCAAAGACTTCTAAAATACAGCATTTAAAATGTTCTAAGAACTTAGGACTTTTCATAACATGAGACACATTTGCTCCTGGCAGTACCAATCACTTCAAGAGGATGATGAGCATTGAAGAGGTTCCTTATAGAGTTTGTTAACCATTTGGGCAAGAAACTGCTCTTGCCTGAACTGCTTGACTGGACTTGTAGGATCTACAGAAAAATGACTGTTGAAGCTGCCTAAAGAAAGTGAGACAGTCCTTTGGGGTTCCTGTTTCATGAAAGAATCTGTAAGACATTCTGCAGGACACAGAAGAAAGTGACTGACAAACTGCCAATATAGGTGGAACTGTTTTTGAAATTTCCCGCTTCATGGAAGAGTCTGCCGGATACTATGGGTCAGTTGGCTGAAGATGGGTGCCTGCAATGTTACAGAAGAACTCTGGGTGACTGTCCAGGCATCTAGATGTCTCTGTCAATTCTAAAGTTTTGGAAGTTGCCTACAATGCCCTTCCTGTTTACTTAGATAATATTATATCCTTCTGGAGTCTTTGTTGGAGTTGAAGAATAGATAGTTATAGTTTTCCTTAGTTATGATAAAAGATAAAGTAGATATAAATGTTGTAACTGTAATTCTTGCTTGATACCTGTTTTGTTATATGTAATCTTGCTATGTTAAAGTTAAAAACCTAACTTTTTATTTAAACAGAAACAGGGAGGTGATGTGAGAGATGATATATGCTGTGAATGTTTTTTTTGCCATTGGTTAATAAAGAAGCTGCTTTCGGCCAATGGCTTAACAGAATAAAGCCAGGCTGAATGAAATATATAGAGAGAACAGGTGAAGTCAGGGAGAAAAGTCATGTAGTCCCGCAGGAGACAGATGCCGGACAGATGCCTGATGCTGGATGGAACTTTACCTGGTAAACCACAGTCATGTGGCAATACACAGATTAATAGAAATGGGTTAATTTAAGATGTAAGAGCTAGGCCAAGCAGTGATTTAATGAATACAGTTTCTGTGTGGTTATTTCGAGTCTCAGCAGCTGGGAATGAACAAGCAGCCTCCGTCAACACACACACACACACACACACACACACACACACACACACACACACACACCACTTTAAAAAAAAAACTTTAAAAGAAAACACAAAGACACTTCTGAAAGTAAATGCCATACAAATGGAAAAAAATTTTATTAGTTTGTTTTTGAGATATGATCTCTGATACTATAGCCCTGGTTGGCCTAGAACTTGCTAGGTAGACCAGTTGGCCTCACACGCACAGAGATCCTCCTGTCTCTGCCTCCTGAATGCTGAGATTAAAGGTATGTACCATCATCGTCAGCACAAAGGAATTTTTTTTCAAGTGATACTTTAAGATACTCAAGAAACAAAATGTCTTACTTTCACAATACACTAAATATTATCTAAATATAAGAGCACCTAACCTCAAGAGACATGTAGTTCACATAGAATGGATAGTAACATGGGTTTTGTTCATGAGATGACTACTTCAAGACATTAACATCTCTATTTCTCAGACCCAGTATTTTCTTACACATCCATTTCACATTTTATTTAATTATTTTACAATCATTCATAAAGATGTATTTCCTAAGAGGCTAGCCTGTGCTCCAATAATAACAAATCATGACAAAATAATCAATGGAGTTGAATTTTTTTTGCTACCAAGTAGTTCCGTCAGATTCTTAACCATTTACACATACTTTCCAAATTGTGATGGCATTAAAATTCTATTTTAGAGATTCCAGACTTTAAAACATTGAGTGATGTCATGGCAGTGATACTGAGAGTCTTTCTCACAAGTCGGCCTGGATGTTCCTCAGAGTTATCAAGACTATTCTTTAGGGTAGTGGATACAAACCCACAGTCCTTTTGGGACATTTATAAGTACTCCATCTTGGATGTTGATAAACCCCAGCCTCTAAATTCTTGTTTACAACAAGGGACCAAAGTAAATAACCCCACAGCCAACAAGCTGATAAAGAGGTACTAACTTACTGGAATAAAGTGGCTATTAGAAATGCCAAGATAGGAGGTGGGGTGGTCAAGGATTAGAGGTGACCAAGTGACCTGAGCTGGATTTTAAAGAACCCCATGATGGAAGAAGAGAATCGACTCCTTTTCTTCATGTGGACCACGGAACTCACTCCCAAACAAATGTCTTTTAAATACAAAAAAAAAAAAATATTTAATTTTCCACATTGGAAATAGTCTTCATGAAAAATTCTAGAGTTTTGATCCTTAAGGACAGATCAAGCAGTTTTGGTTTTTATATTAAGTAATCAAGACAGATAGTAGAAAAAGCATTTTATTTATATGGAAAACGCTACAGTAAGATCTGTAAAAGGTGTCAATATAATATTGCCTATACAGAAAAAAAAATTCAAATGTGAAGAGCAACCAAAAAAAAGAAAGTGACACACCCTCCTACTTAGCAGTGCAATTAATTCACATTGCAATAAAGTTAAGTCAAGTACAATAAAACCAAAACAAGGGTCTCTCCATTCTAATCGGTATACTGGGAAATACAGTGTGAAGATCAGTTCCGGCTTAAGAAATATGCATTCAACCCACAGAATATCCTAAGACAAGGGGGCACAGTTAATTCATCATCAGTTGTTGGGGGCTTCAATACTGTTCACAGGGAAAAAAGTCATGAGTTGACATAGAATATATTTAGTCTATACAGTAAAAAAATACAAATTATAAAGTGAGCTAACAAAGAATGAAATCTGAGTTCAGATTTATAAAAGTGATGACATCTTGGACAGTACATACAGTGTTTCTCATGTAAAAACATCTCCTTTCAGCAAAAAAAAAAAAATCATCTGGTTGTTTCTCAGTCATGTCGCGGATCTTGCTTCGAAGATGCAGGTGTCCAAGTGTCTCAGAAACCAAAATAAATGTCCTCCTCAACGAGCACAAGATGCCAAATGCTCTCAGCACAGTTTCAAGGGTAGTTTTGGAGGTTTGTTCTGTCTTGCTTCAGAAACACATTTAAAATGAGTAGCAACCAAAGGGTTCAGTGGAACAAAGGAGACAGCCCACAGCGCTCGATTTACTGCTAATGTTGAAAAAGACATAGATTTTACAGTACTCTGGTATAAGTGAAAGTGTTTGAAAACATTACATTGCATATTTCTGAGTCCATTCTCTTGCGTGCCTGTTGTATCTGTAGGCATACAAAAAGAGAGAGTAAAAACACACATGTTTAACCCGCAGGAGCCTCACTCTGCTCAGAATCTGGTCCTCTGCCTCCTCACGCGACCACCATGCTCTCACCAGCCACGGGGTTTAGGCAACACAAACACGCCAACCCAAAAGCAAAAACCAACGACCTGTAAATTCCTAGATTACTCAAAACAAAACAAACAAGAGACAGAAAACCAACTTCGAACAGAAATCTATAGACACTACCCCGGAGGCAGGGTTATCACGCACCAGGAGAAGGAAGCCACTGGAAGGAGAAGGTCAGAGTGGGTGGGCAGAGAATTAACTTCTCTTCCTAGGAAAAGACAGCCAAACAATGCCCAGGGCTTCCCAGTGATTAAATCCTTCCATGTCTAATTTACCAGCTCGAAATGATGAGGGCACAGCACAGACAGAAAACACATAACACTGACCCGGAAAGAGGTTCTGTTTTTGTTTTAAAGACAGTTAAAAAAAAAAGTCTCCAGCGGGGGTGTGGGGATGTGGAATGACACCTTACACAGAGCTAACTACTTCAGCTATCACCCACAGGCAGCAAACTATATTGAAATGCACCCAACAGGAAGTGTACAACAGGAAGTGTACAACAGGAAGTGGACAGCAGGAAGTGGACAACAGGAAGTGGACAACAGGAAGCACTTACTTTTCTTTGTCTGATTTATAGATCTGTGCAATATCTGGTACTAAAGGATCATCTGGATTAGGATCACAGAGCAGCGAGCATATGGACAATAACACTAGATTGGGAAAAAAAA